ACTACTATCTAGCAACTCCAGCCCGAAAGCTGTGAATACCAGACCATGATTCTAGATCCACACTCTCCACCCCCACATCATTGGTAAGATAGTACGCTAATACTCCACTACCAAAGCAAATCTCAGAGAAAGACAGTCAATTCATGGACAACCTGATCATTGTTCATGGAAGTGTACCTAGGGAAGGAGTGAACATCATTAAATCCACAGAAAATTAGGAGAGATAAAGGTCCAATAATGCCTTACAGTGTGTTGCCTTTTTCCTCAATGAAGATGAGCGGTGGAAAGCCTCATTCTGCTAAAATATGAAACCTGGTGGCCAGAACAGGCAGAACTTAATAGGACAGCAGGTGGGAAGAAATCAGTTATCCAGAACAACCTCTTATCACACTGTCTTGTAATAATTCACTGCCATATTAATCAGTAGAACCTCTGACTAGACTAGGATTTAAATCTGACTGCAAGGCAATGAAACCATAATTAAGTCAGTGTTTATTGGATGGGAGTAATTAATTTTACATATGTATGCGACATCATCATCAGTGGAAGAGGCTGTGATTTATAACTTCAGATGAAAGCGATTTTCAAGGACAATTACAGGCTTACCTCTCAACCCATTGCAAACAGCAGCCGAGTGCCCATTTCTTACAGTTTGTGAACTCTCCCTTTCTTTCTCTTTTGGTTTTAAATATACTGCTAGGCACTGATCATTGAGCACCCTGATCTGCACATTTACTAATTAAGATATCTCACAAACATGCTTGAAACATCCTCACTTAGAGTCTTAAAAAGTACAGCGTGGAAACAGGCCTTTCGGTCCAACTCATCTATGCTAGATTAATGTAGTCCCATTTGCCAGCATTTGGCCCATATCCCTCAAAACCCTTCCTATTCATATACCCATCCAGATTGTCTTGTTCAACCTTTATCCATGTTCCCTAACCTACAAATCGATTCCGGTTCATCAACAACCCCTTCCTCCTACACAGATCTCTCCACAGTCTTCCCCCACCCCCTCCCCATTTCTAAACCCCTGCAGCCAGCTGAAGGCTCTACGTTCTTCCAACTCGGATCTCATGCATTTTTCCGCTATTCTTCAAAGATCAAGCATCATAGAATCCCTATAGTGCAAAAACAGGCCATTCGGCCCAACAGGTCCACACCGCCCCTCTGAAGAGCATTCCACCTAGACCCATTCCCCTACCCCTGTATTTCCTGTATCTATCCCACCTAACCTAAACATCTCTGGGCACTACGGACAATTTAGCATGGCCAATCCAACTACCCTGCACATCTTTGGACTGTGGGAGGAAACTGGAGCACCCGGAGGAAACCCGCGCAGACACAGGGAGAATGTGCAAACTCCACACAGACAGTTGCCCGAGGCTGGAATCGAACCTGGGTTCCTGTCGCTGTGAGGCAGCAGTGCTGACCACTGAGCCACCATGCTGCCCCCCTCCTAACATCCCCTTGGGCACTCTTGTCAAACATCTTGGGGATACTCAATGATGCTAAAAAGGTGTTGTACAAATGCACATTGTAGTATTTTTTCCGTTACCCTTACATCTTCAGTTTCCACGTTAAGCCCATTCCAAAACCTGTCAGGGTTTGGAGGTCATACACTGGTGCTTTGACAGACGTTCACAACCTATAACCTATCAATAACTAACTGTGTTCCAGAACTGGAACTTTTTACTCGTTCATGGGATCACTGGCCAGGCCAGCAATGTATTGCTCATCCCTTATTGCCCAGAGGATTGCTGTACGTCTAGGAGTCATACATAGGCCAGACAAGGTAGGACAGATTTCCTTCCCTAAAGGACGTTTAAGTGAATCAGATGTTTCTTCTAAAAGCAACAATTAACAGTGGCCACCATTTGAAAAATTGAGTTCAAATTTCACCATCTGCCATAGTGGGATTCAAACTTACATCCCCAAAATGATTAGGCTGGGGAGGTTTGTAGATTCGTCATCCAGCAACGTTATTACTAGGCCACCACTTTCTCAAAAGCTGGATGAACAGCCTATCCAAAAATTTACCTCCTCTTGGTATCATAGAATCCCTACAGTGTGGAAGCAGGCCATTCGGCCCAGGTCTACACAGACTCTCCTAACAGCATCCCACCCAGACCCATCCCCTTACCTTATCCCTGTAACCCTGTATTTCCCGTGGCTAACCCACCTAACCAGCATATCCCTGGACACTATGGGGCAATTTAGCGCGGCCAATCCACCCTAACCTGCACATCCTTGGGACTGTGGGAGGAAACCCACACAAGACATGGGGAGAACGTGCAAACTGCACACAGTCGTCTGAGGCTGGTAATGGAACCTGGGCCCCAGCAGCATGAGGCAGCAGTGCTGACCACTGAGCCACCATGCCGCCTCAAGTCTTCTTATAAAAAGGCTATTACAACAAGGAGGGGGCTCCTGTTTTAAATCTTGTGGAAAATTTCAATCAGCTTTTGTCTCGAAGGGCGGTTTACTTCCAATCTCTAGATTGCGCTGGCTCTGGCTGTGGGGAGGTTTTCACCCGAGTCAGAAAGGCCACAGGTTCAACGTTCTATTTCACAGACTTGAACACAAAAATCAAGACTAAGGTTTAAGAGGGTCAGAGGTACTGACTTTTAGAAGAAGTTAAAATCAGATCCCGTCAGGTAGATTCGAAAGGCTCCATTTCGAAGAGGAGCAGGGAAGCTGTGGACAGTATTTTATTCCTCAGTCAACACCAGGGGTTGTACTGGCGTACAAGTCATTGCTCACTTTGACATGTGCTATTCTTGAATCCGCACTGCAAGTCTTTCTTTTAACCCCAAGCAATACTCTTAACAGTATCTGTGAAGGTTCACCTCTGCCACCTAAAGTCATTTGCAATGCCACAAGGGGGGGGTAAAAAAGAAACATGCAGGGAGAAAATTCTCCCACTCCTGGAACTCTGGGGTGCAAAGTAAATCTCACCCATGCGTGATGAGTTAGGCCCAAGGGAAGGAAACAAAAACTGCTCATGTTTTGCAGCGCAAGACAAGGTTTTGTGATCCCCCTTTTGCATTTCCTGTTTCTTGCATTGACACATTCCCTAGAAGGCAATGGGATGTCTTTGTCAACAACCATTTTATTTTTCCGAGTTGGGGGGGGGGCTATGGGGGAGGAAAGGGGGAAATGTTAAAAGCCAAAAAAGTCAACAGGTGAGCAATCAAAGCCATTGCACAATACAAATTTAATCACACGCAACACAATTTAAATCTAATCCAGGTCACAACTCATTGACAGTACACAGTGAACAGTTTTAATATATACACGTGCACACAGTCCACAGACACATTGCGAGGGGCACACTTAACTGGCCAGCAAAAGCTTGCTCTCAGTGCTAAAAACCGTGCTCGTCACCTCTTCGAAACTTTAAAACGGCTGAATGCGTTCATATTGACTTGGGAATCCTTTCACTGTCCCCTGTGCAACCTCCCACATGTGGAGTTGTCTGGCCCCCGAGCCGTGTGTCAAGAAACAGGCCACACTGCCGTTTTGTGCCCATTTGTAGGCAGCATGTCTCTTACCAGCTGGTGAAGGAGACCCAGTGCCTCAGCCTGGCTTGAAAGTGCAATGCACTAAACCCACCTTGTATTGTCAGATCTCATTGACCTTAGTGCCCTCACATAGTTTCACCAGATCACATGATTTGCTGCAGTGGTCAAATGATTAGAGAATACTGTGGTAATGTTTGAAAGGAACACTGTCGTCCTTGAATGAATGCTGGCCGAATCTTCGTTTAAAATAGACACACACACACACAAAGCAAAGTCTTACTACATACTGGGGCACTGACAAGAATAATAGCTGTTTCCATCCTCTGTAAATGATCTTTTGAAGATAGCGCTGCTTTAAGCTTTTTCTTTCAAAAACTCGAATCCTCTCTATATTAGAATAAATCTTGAATAATTTCAGGCTCCCAAGAGGAGGGGGAACGGACTCATTGAAATCAAGAGAAGCCATGGTATCTCAATTCATTTTTTTTTTAAAAAAGGGACATTAATCAGAATATATGCGAAAAAAATGTCAAGTCTTGTCAAGGAGCTTCATTTCAGGAGCAACTCTTAACAAGTTGAAGCACGGCCAGGGTGACTTGAAGTGCTGAGAAGAGTTCAACATCAGGGACACACTGTACGATTTAACAGGACGACACTCTGTTGTATTTAGAAATGGGAAGTAGCTACATTTCCTCGGAGTGACCGGGGAGGCAGCTGCTCTAATCCAGCTACTTTCAGTTGCTTTTAGGGCGAGCGTAAAGGGCATACAGCGGGAGGGTTTACACTGGATCGTTTTCAACACCCCTGCTACGGCTCATTCTCAAATTCACACGATCGTGGCGAGCAGCCTTTCCACGGAGGAACCCTATGGTCACTAAACTCCTTCCCCAGCCTCGGGCTAAAATCGCGAGTTACTGTGCCGAGCGGAGGGGTTGGAGGGGCGGGGAAGAAAAGGTAGAACAGCCCGCAAAGTTTCACACGCCACAGACGAGTCAAGAAAAAAAAATCAAAGCAGAAAGCAATGCCTGGAACAGGATCGAGGGACAGCGAACTCTCAGGCTGCGGCACATGACAGCCTAGGAAGTCGGTGTTATCCTTGTACCAAACTCCTGTAGTGTGATTAGCAGCGAGGAGTGGTGAGGAAAGGCCAGAGGCAGGGACAGTAGCAAGGTGACGGCAGAGGAGAGGGAGAGAGAGAGGGAGGGAGAGACAGAGACAGAGTAAGGAAATATGGAGATTGTAAGAAATAGAGACATGGAGGGGA